TTTTTTTTTTACTTAAAGATTGGCAATTAAAATTCGCTTTTTTGAGAATTGATTTTCAGGCATAATGTGGCAAGCTTGGAGTTTTTTTTAACAATGGAATTGATAAAAAAAATAAGAAAAACGTGAAGAATAATGTGTCGTGTCTTTTAAAATAGTGAAATTTCTGTCCAATAACCGAGAAATCTTTCGACTTTGCTCTTTATTTCTTGTTCAGTATAACGTTTCATTCCGTTTACTGGTGAAATAGAATATTCACAAATTCGGTAAATATAACGCTAAGTGAAACGAGAAAAATGAACGCCAGCCAGCGTTTAAAAATAATGATTTCTTTTCTAGCTAACAATTGTTATTTTAGAGAAGATAGAAACTGGCAATGGAAAATGGATTCATTACGAATTTTCAAAATAGTAAAAATCTTCGACATCACACTGTAAACTGAACCTTCTTTTTTATATATTGCGTCCATTTAGTGCGTGTGCGATTATAGTTCTCCACAACTTCTTCTGTTTTCATTTTAAATAACGTTCGCATTTGCTGATTTGCTATTTATTTAAAGTTAGATTACTAACTCTTTCTTTTATATTCTTAATATATCCTGTCTGTGTTATAGTCTCTAATGTGTTCTTTCTCATTTATATCCCAAATCATTTCAAATGTATCCATCTGATTCTTAGAATAAGTGTTTGTGTTTTCATTATCTTTAAAATTTCATCGTTCTCATCCAAGTGATTAGAAAATTCTGTTTAGTTGAATTCCTAACAATGATATTTATTGGGAATTGGTGAAGTCTGGATTAATTTTACTTCTCGAAGACCGAAACATCTGATTCGTATGCCTGACATTGGGATAAATTTGACACTAGTGAGTAATAGCAAAAATGAAATCTTCCATTTTCGAAGTATCACTTGTTCGGTAAGCAATTTCTACAGATTGAAGCGCTTCAAGAAATCCTCAAAGAATCAGTCGAATTCTGATTGATGGAATGCACTATTTCTTTTCAATCATCATCATAAGCAAGGCGATAAAACCCACTAGGTTTTGAGGGGTTACCGACTGTAAGTGAAACAGTGAAGACAATAAAAGATCAGAGTTCAAGGAGACGATGAACATTGCAGTTAATTCGACAGGTAATCATGAATCTTGAAGATAGGTTTCACATTCGAGAAGTTCGAGAGAAAAAAAAATTTGCATAGAACTTATGGTTATAACTGGCAGCCTCAATAAAGAAATTATGAAACCTAGCTACTAATCTATAACCGCCCTTAAATTCATCAAATCGAGTTACCAAAGTTGAAAGCACACCAAAAGAACCATCGGGAAAATAATTATTGGCATTCGAACCGGAAAATCCAATACGAATATTTTAGATTATTTGGATGTCAATCTGAGGACAGTGCAGAGGATTTGGAAATAGTTGGATGAGTCTAATGGTGAACACGAAAGTACGGCAGCACGGAAAAATCCCCCTATCATTCTGATAAGAAAAGATCTTCACCAGAGAGGCCTACATTAAGTGCCCTTTGGAGGTATTGCTGTCCTGGGTCAACAGGATGTCTGTCGAAAGATCCTATGTCTGGTAACCAGACGCTGCACCATGTCACACAAGCAGGGCAAACCAGTCATGTCTGTCTGACAACTTCTACGAGCACATCACCCTTTGCCTCTGGCCACCTAAATCTCCAGACTGCTTGTGGGGCGCAGTTGAGCAAGCGTCTACCAAAATTCCTTGAAACACCAAATATGAATTGAAGCCAAGGATTCACCAACACAAAGAGATTATCAGGAAGAGGAGTTTCAGGAGATTCCGAAATCCTCTTACGGCCTTGGTTGAAGCCAGTTGTGATTTTATTGAATAAATTTACTCTTTAGTATTTCAAGATATTTTTATGTAATTTTCGTAAATATACCTATTAAAATGAGATGTCAGTGTTATTTTCATTTCTGAGTCATTTAGACGACAATTCATCCATCACACCATATATAATATGTTATACCTGCAAATGTATTTTGTTAGTTGTTGTTACTTTGTGTTAGAGAAGGTAAATTACATTCATGTTTTCCCTCTGTACCGTAAAATATACGAGAAGTTAAATTAAAATAAAAAGTCTCTAGTTATTTCCTTACTATAAAGATTTCAAGTTTACTTTAGTGTCCATGACAATGCAAACAGTACAAATCCAACATGTAATAGTCATCAAAGTTTGATGAAAACAAGGAGAATAAACATTATCGTTAATGTTCAACCCATTGAAGACAATCTTCACAAGGTTACATGGACAACCCAGGTCCACCGTAATCAATATAGAGCACTTTATCACAATCACTATCATGAATTTACTTCCCCGCTTCTTTTAGCATACACAACGTGACACCATTCACAACATCATATATCAGTACATCTGAATAATCTATTACTATTTATTCAAAGGCAAAATAAACAAAATCGCTTTTGACTAAAGATCACTGTTCAAACATGAGTTGCAGCCTCCCTTTCTGCAGTGCCAATGATTGATAAGCCTGAAATAGACAAACACTGCCAATACAAACCATTGTTCAAACGGGAAACTTGGCCTAGATTCTAGAAAGCCAAGTATTGATAATTTTATAACGAGTGTCAATTCAAATCTCTGTTCAACTGCGTACCCCCTCTGTTTCTCTCTCTATTCCAGCAATGATAGACTTGTAACAAATAGTACAAAATTGCACATTCCTCTTCTATGCTTACTTTCTCTTCAAATCCGCTTCAAGGTGATCATGAACTATATACGGCCTCTGATCGGGAGATTTGGAGGTTTTAAGGACCGTGGAAGCACCTATTAATTTCTGTTATTCCCAGATTCACCGTGATCTGCAGTGGTAGCACCTGTTAGGGTCCCAGATATGGGCTAATAGGGAATCCATTAAACAAAAGCAAAACACTATGAAAGTATAAAAATACATTTTTGTAGTAAAAATACCAGCAATAAATTTTTATATAAAAAATTATCAACAATCCTTAATTATAGCAAAATGACCAATAATACATTTTACCTGTAATTTAATGCATACAGCTGCTTTCAAAATATTTTGGTATGAAATAATCCATAGAGGCTGATATGTCGCAAAACAAAACCAAAGCAACATGAAAGATGGACACACAGAGAATGAGTGTGCTTCCATTTTTTTTTGTTTCAGTAAATGTCGATGTGCATGTGGTGTAATGTCTTGCGGCTCGAGACGAGGAATAGGCGAGCCGAATTCGAATTCTAGTCAAGTTCGTTGGCTTCACTTCTGCACAAATATTCTGGGGACCGGTCTGGATCGATCTGTTCTCGTTATGGGATAAACAGTGGGTTAGACTGGGCTATTCAGACTTGGTTGACAACTAATTCAAAACCGGTTGAACATGGCGCTATCAAATCTTTCCCATTAAAACTTATTTGCGACTGAAAACAATGCGGTGATTCCCTGTTTATTAAAGATGATACACTATATTTCAAGGTTTGGTGTTTGCGGGATTAAATGAACGTCAGATTAGGTTTTTGTAATAAAAAATCCGGCGTTTTTAAAATATTTTCTTCAGTTTTATGTGCTAATATGACATATTTCGAATATTGCTGCCACATCTGGTCTAGTTCTTCTGCCATGTATCTAGATATTCTTAACAAAATCCAAGGAAGAATATTCAATATTATCGGTCCTGATACGGCATCTCGGCTTCAGTCATTTTCCAAGTTGGCTAACGTAGCTTCCTAGGCCATTATCTATTAAATTACACAGACATGAAAACGGCCAAGCAATATGTTTCATCGTTTTACTGTTGAACCATCTTAGATATGGCAGTAAGTTCTCTTCTAACAGTTTCGGTTCTCGCACGTCTAGCCTGTGGAACGCTTTGCTAGTGTCTATCTTCTCTGCTATCTATGACCTTCAAAATGAAATGTTAATCGCTATCTTCTGTCTTTTTGAAACCTGTTTTTTTATTGTCCTTTCTCCTCACTAAAATAATTTCATTCTCTTTTAATTTCATAAGAGAAAGCATTCAATGAGAAGTTCCTTTTATTGAACCCCGTTTTTCTCTTAGCTTTATTAGTGTCAAATCCTTTCACTTGTTCTGTTTTACGTTTATCTTAGCACAATTCCTAAAGAAATAGAAAGTGTTTTTTTTTTCGTAAGGAATAGAAAGCAAAGAAAATTGAATGATTGGCTAATATAACTTCCGAAAAATCAAAGTGATCATATCATTTCAAGTGATTTATCTTCTGATAAAGCTTTGACAACTCAAAGAGAAAAAGACTGCCTTCTAACTTAAAATTGTGGAAAAACAAAAACAAAACACGATCATGCTGTTTCATCATCACCGATCAGACACTGTATTTTCTTAGAATGAAGGCGTCTTTATGATGCAAACGCTTCTTGGGTCACAAGCTATTCGAAACCGCAAGTGGAAATCACATACAGCAAGGACACGCTCTGCTATATCGTCTGTTATGAATAGCCCTTATTTTCTCCGCATTACAAATGTAAAGAGGAGGTCCCACCCAAAGAAGTACTATTCCCACATGCATGCTCCTATCAACACTTCAATCGTGACTTCTTCAAGTGAAGCTTCAATATTTATCTATCCTCCACATACATTAACTTTCTATTATCTTCTCTTACATATTACACACGTTATTCTGTAACCCTAAATATTGAGTGTCTCTCGGGCCTTGTATTAAGTGAAGTTTAAGAAAGAAAATTCACTCGGGAAAGTGATCACTTTTATCATTAATTCATCTTTTACGGCCTTGCGGGTTATTTAAAGCCAGAAGATAGTTTTACATTGTGAGAATTGGGGGAGGATAATACTGGTTTTACTAATACAAGTCTTACTAATTAACCCATAGCTTGGGGAGAAAAGGCAGATTAATACCTTTCGCAAGCGCATCTGCGCGTAAGTGAATCCAATGGGAATTGGAAATCGGCTCTCCGATTAACATTTCCGAGTCATTATGCATTACACCACCCGCACATCTAAGCTTACGGCACCTGGTTTTCACAAGTAGTCACCCATCAAGGTGCTGAATAAGCTCGAGGTTGCTTAACATCGATGATCGTAAGGGAACCTGTGTTTCAACTTCCTCACTTTTAGGAACACCCACTATACAATCATTGTTCACTCGACATCACAAACATTTTAATTGAAACACAACATTTCGTTTATGTGACAACGAAAGCATTAAAAATAAAATGAAATAATGCGACATATTTAAAGTTTTGGTGTTCAGTATCATCAAAGGAGTCGAACAGAAAGAATTTTGATTCCTGACATTGAGTGAAGTCTGCAGAAACATAAAAATGTTAAATAAACTAACATCATCATTTTTCACACGTTTAATTTGAATGAACAGAAATCAATCGAAGCAGAAAAAAAATTGTTAAATAGAATAAACAAGATTTTTCAATTCTTTTAACAAAATTGTTTAAATGAACTCAAACTGCCCAAATACATCCAATTTGTCTATATATAAAATTCTGTGAGTTCTGTCCGTCACACTTTCTAAAATGACCATATATTGACCGATTGTTGTAGAGTAGTTTCACAGTGGAGGCTTGTATTTCACTAAGTCGGTCCTAAAATAGGTTCGACGTACAAAACGTTAGGAACTTGATATCATAGGTAATGACGCAGTAATCTAGTTGTGGTGGCTGATACTTTTAGTATCCGACTAACGGTCGTCCGACATCGACTGACTGACCAACTTGATATTTATTCACCCCACCCACGAGGGCATCATGTGGCACAAGGCCGGTTTAACGTGGGCTCTCCAAGACCGCGGGCTCGGCCAAAAATATGCCCATTGAACCCGTATGAACGGGTTCAGGGTCGGTTTAACTCCCCGAAAGAGAGTCCGCCCTTCGGCGTAGCCTCTTTCGGGTGCGTAGCTTAGTACAATTAATTTTCATTATTACTTTTAGAAGAATTAAATGTTTTATTATTTAACATACAAAATACTCCTACAACACTAAAACAATTTAATGATTAAAATAACAAATACTTATTTAATATAAATGCAATATTGTTTTTTTTTTTTGCATATCTTTAAATTTTCACATTTCATTGATTCATTTGCGAAATTTGAACGAAATGTCGACAAAAATATTAGCGATAACTTCAACCATACTAAAGACTTTAAAGATTTCAACACGCCCGATTGTGTTCTTCAGAAATTCTAGTATATATATATATATATATATATATATATATATATATGGGATCAAATGACAATTGGAAAAAATCTTACATTTTGCCGACGCGTTTCGTCTTCCGACTTTTTCAAGGCAAAAATGAAATTGAAATGTTTTTGTTGTTATAGTTACATTAAAAATCCAAATTTAAAAAGATAGACGCTTCTGTCTAAGCCTTTTTTTCTAGTTAATGTAAATTATATTTATAGTAAGGGATCATTATTATTATTATTATTTTCTTTTCCATGTCGACAATATAGTTAAATTCCCAGATGAATTCTATATTGTTGACATGAAAAAAAAATATTTGATACCAATCTGTCTTGTCCACAGAATTCATTTGGGAATTTAACTATATATATATATATATATATATATATATATATATATATATATTTGTGTGTCTGTGTGTGTGTGCGTGTGTGTGAAAAGTGGGTATATAAATATATATATATATATATATATATATATATATATATATAATTATTTATACACCCATAATAACACCAATACACGCAATCTACATAAACCCAAAATTTTCAAAATATTAATCAGTTTGTCTGACGATCGCAAAAGCGTGAAACCCAGGGTCACAAACTCACATCAATCCAACCAAATATATATATATATATATATATATATATATATATATGTGTGTGTATGTATGTATGTATATATGTGTGTGTATGTACTGATTCCTTGTAATTGGACGGTATGTGTGTGTATTTGTGTGTGTTTCTGTGTGTGTATATATGTGTGCATGTGTACAAATGTGTTTACTAATTCCTCGTAGTGAGACCGTGTGTATGTATGGAGAGGGAATATACACATATATACACGCATGCTGACAAAAAGTCACGGAAATCGAAATGGATCTAAGAACACACAGGGGTCATTAAAAGATAAGAATGCGATAACTACTTCGTCATTTCTCGGACCAATCTTAATTGTTTTATAACCCTTCAAGCAGATCTTTTCACTGCCAGTTCAAGAAAAAAAAAAAGAAAAAGTCTCATATCGAGAATATTTAACACCAAAAAATATAAAGGAAAAAAATTAATTATTTTTAGTAAGATGGAAATCTGCACCCCTTTGACTGATGATGCTCGCGAGACCGGAAACCCGTATAGCAAAATTATAGCATCTCCTGTTTATATATATATATATATATATATATATATATATATATATATATATATATATATATTAAGTATTTCATCACAAGAAAGCCAATAAAGCCACTAAAAGTCAAGTGGTTACTGGGTGTTAAAGAATATGATAATAATTCTATTGAGGAAAGAAGGCAATAAAAGAACAAGAATTACGTAGACCGAAGACAACGTTTGTCATTGCCCTTAAATTTTTGACGATCAAAGTTGACTTGGAAACAAGAAGCCAGAACAGAATTCCACAAGTGAGAAGTAACCATTAGAATAGAACATACAAATACACCTAACCATTTCCACTGTAAAATTATAAGACTTTGACGCAAATTTAGTACTGCTTTTAAATTCAGACTCGTTACTATAAAGGAATGTTTATCCGAACAATTACCATGAAAGTATTTATAGGAAGATCGTAGTGAAGTTATACTACGGTGGTTGGAATGTGACTGAAGCCGATATGCCAGGTCAGGACCAATAACATTGCGGATTCTTCTTTTATTTCTAAATATCTGAATATATATCAGGAGCACCAGCTTAGATGTGGTACCAATATTCAAAACAAAGACGAACGGTGCACTTATGAATATGTTAGATAAATTCTGCCGAGTAAAACTGTACAGCACGACACAGGAAACTAATTTTCCTTGCAGCAGACTAAGAATAGATTCAATATAATCTTTTCATTTCATGTCAGCGGCAAACGTTAGTACGAGAATTCGCAATAAGTCAGCCCCTTGGAGGTTGACATCAACCAAGTTGATGGCAAACAAAAAGGGTTCTCTCAGATGATAAAAAGAGAGAAAGTTCGTTTTGTAGGCCTTAAAATTAAAAAAAAAACATCCTTGTCATAGAGTGCAGTTCATGTACTTCAAAACTATCATTTTATACTTTATCAAACCGAGAAGATTTGGTACTAAGGCAAGAGTAAATAGTTGTTTCATCAGCATAGATAGCTAAAGAAACAGTACATATCTACCTAGGTTTACCCCTACCGGATCATCAGGATAATTCCGAATTAGCCTGATGATCCGGTAGGTGGAAACCTGGCTAGATAGGTTCTGACTCTAGGTATTTTGATTTTGCTCTTTTTAGTATATTAAGCAATTTTACGTTCAACTTAGTTACTCTGTCGATGTTTTATTTCCTTTCTTTTGCTCATTGAGGTAACGGAAAACTTTTTTCAGGCAGTACGGATGTTTTGTATTTTGTTTTTTTCATTGAGTTTTTTCCACAAATATCAGTTTGTCTATTTTATTATTTACAAATTGTATTATCTGTTATTTTAACACCACATATATATATATATATATATATATATATATATATATATATATATATATATATATATATTTATATATATATATATATATATATATATATTTGGTTGGATAGATGTGAGTTTGTGACCCTGGTATGTATATGTGTCTGCATGTTTGCGTTAGTACGATGAATGACAAAACAACGAAGTTTCCCCACCACTTCCACAATAACACCAATACACGCAATCTACATAAACCCCAATTTTTTAAAACATTAATCAGTTTGTCTGACGATCGCTAAAAGAGTGAAACCCAGGGTCACATACTCACATCTATCCAACCAAATATGTTAGCTCTATCTCTGATATTGAGCGCTTTCTAATAAGTACCCGCATATAATATATAAATAATTATACATATATATATTTATTTATATTTATATACACTTTTCACACACACACACACACACACACACACACACACACACACACACACACACACACACATACATATATATATATATATATATATATATATATATATATATATATATATATATATATGTATGTATTATTAAAACTATAACTCTGGCGGTGTGAAAAATACAGATAAATTTTATAATTGACAAATTGTATTATCTGCTATATATATACATATATATATTAAAACTATAACCCTGGCGGTGTGAAAAAACAGATAATTCAATTTGTAAATAATAAATGATTTATAATTAAATTTAAATATATATATATATATATATATATATATATATATATATATATATATATATTGGAGGGGCGGTGGAGGAATTGGAGAGCCAAGTTTAAATTCCAGTCAATTATATTACATTCACTTACGTGCTAATGCCCTTGGGAAAGGTGTGAATCCTCTTCTTCTTCCTCCAGCTAATATGTTATAGCAGAACAGACTGTGTTCTTTTGCCTTGGATGGCAACTGGTCTAGGAGAAGGAGGGTCGTTTGGGGACCTTGTGGCATGTAGCGCACCAGGTCTTTGCATTCGGCCCTTCAAAAAGTGTGGTTGGTCCTGCACGAAACCTTCACCACTATAATCAAATCTCATGTGCTGTTGTCGGGCTGTCGGTTTGTAGGAACTGATCTGATTGACCCTCATATGTCGAATTTGACGGAAGAGTTGAGTATATATATATATATATATATATATATATATATATATATATATATATATATATATTGTCTATATTTCTGAGATGAGGTGTTATGTACTCTATTTACATAATTCGGACTATTGTCCTCATCTTTGTTGCCATATTTATTACAACGTTTCGGTAGTTGAACGCTCCGGTTTTCTTCAGGAATGTCGAACTGAACCCTTTATTTCGCTCGCTGGGTTAGAATGTTCTAGTTTCACGTGCCATGTCTAATGTCTAACTTTGGGATAAATATTGCAGCAAAGTATATATATGCACCAATAATATATATAT